TTTGAACTTGAACTTGACAGCATACTCGAACACATCTCCCTGGGGAGAAATCATAATTACTCCAGCCCCTGAGCCGGTTGAAGCAGACGAGTCGTCAAATGATATCTTCCATATGCCGGTACCATCCTCCTCTTCATAATAAGACGTTTCTACAATGAAGTCAGACAAGGCCTGGGCTTTGATTGATACCCTTGGTTTATACGTAATAACATATTCAGACAATTCAATCGCCCATTTAAGCAGGCGGCCAGACGTTTCCATCTTCTGCAAAGACTTCTCTAACGGCTGATTCGTTAAAATATCAATTGCATGTGCATCAAAGTAAGGACGCAACTTTCGTGCGGCCACAACTACTGCGTACGCGATCTTCTCTACTAACGGTACCGTCTCTCGGCAGCATTTAAAACGTGGCTCACAAAGTAAATTGGTAGTTGGGTTTTTTGTCGTTCCACTAGGAGCACCGCTGCTACCGTCTTTGCTGACGCGGAAATATAAAGTTGTAATGTTTCTCCTTGTTCCGGCCTTGCGACGGTGGGTAAGGACCTCAAGTGATTTTTCACAGCCTGGAACGCCTTGGATTGGTCCTTCCCCCATTCAAACATCTTGTTCTGACGCAAGATCACGAAGAACGGTAAGGCTTTGTCAGCTGACTTGCTGATGAATCTTGTTAACGCAACCATTCGACCAGTGAGCTTTTGCACATCTTTTATGCACTTTGGTTCTGGTAAACTAAGAATCGCCTCAATATTATCGGGGTTAGCGTCTATCCCCCTTTCGCTCACCATGAACCCCAGAAACTTTCCTAATCGGACGCCGAACACACACTTCTCCGGGTTAACTTCATCCGGTAGCGTCGAAGAGTTTCAAAAGTTTCTCTCAAATCAGCGACGTGATCTATAGCCAAACGGCTTTTCACAATTGAATCATCCACATACACTTCCACATTCCTTCCTTTCTGATTCGCAAACACTTTGTCGACCAGCTTCTGATACGTAGCCCCTGCATTTCTCAATCCAAACGGCATAGCCCTGTAACAGAAAACTCCGGAATCGGTAATGAATGTCGCCTTGGTTCGATCTGGCTCATATAAGCTGACCTGATGATACCCGGAGAAAGTGTCCATAAAACTCAATAGCGCGTGACCGGAAGTTGAATCTACCAATCTATCTATCCTTGGAAAGGGATAGCAATCTTTCGGGCAGGCTCTGTTCAAGTCCGTAAAGTCCACGCACATTCTCCATTTCCCTGACGGCTTTTTTACCATAACCACATTTGCTAACCATTCAGGGTATGTGCAGGGTTCGATAAACCCTGCCGCTAGCAATTTATTCACCTCTGACTGAATAGCCTCCATTTTCTCTGTTGAGAAGTTCCTTTTCTTCTGTCGAACAGGTCTTTCTCTCCTGTCGACATTTAGCTTATGCACAATGATGTCGGGATGTATCCCGAGCATCTCGTCTGCCGAGAAAGCGAATACGTCAGCACTTTCTCATAACAATTCCACCAAATGGCAGCGCGTGTCGACATCCATATCAGATCCAACACGCACTACCCTGCCGGGCACACCAGGCTGCAATTCAATCTCTACAGTTTCACCTCCTGGGGAAGGACGTGGCGCAGTTACTGGCCGAGTATCAAAATTTTCCATGGCCAAATCATGTGTGGAGGGAATTCGTTCTCGCTTGGCTGGTGTCTGTTCACAAGTTGGCTGTCGGCCTGGCTGCTTCAGTGCTGAAACATAACACTCTCTGGCCATAGTTTGACTACCCCGTACGCGCTCTGTCGTTCCCGCGTTGGATACATACACCATTATTAAGTGGTACGTTGAGACAACAGCTTGCATGTCATGAATTAAAGGCCTACCGACAATGGCGTTGTAAGCGGATGGTACATCAATCACCAAAAATTCCGCCATGACATCTCTTACTGATGGACCCTCTCCCATTCGAACTTGAAGAACTATACTACCTTCAGGTCTTACCGTTGATCTGTTGAAACCTATCACGGGGTAAGACACTAGCGTTAAATATTTTCGGCCAATCCTCATGGCATCAAAAGCCCTAGAAAACAGGATATTGGCGGAACTTCCGCCATCAACGAGTGCTCGCTTGATATCTGCTCCATTTACCGTCAATATCAGCACCAACGGATCATCATGAGGGAAAATTATTCCCTTAGCATCCTCCTCCGAAAAAGATATCGAAAGCATGGAAGAAGGCCGAGGTCGTTCCTCTACGCTCAATGCGTTCACTAGGTGCCAGTATTCTGACAAACTTTTCTTCGCCCAGCTTACGGAACCCCCATATACTGGTCCTCCCGCAATAACATCGATCGTTATTTTGCGCCCTGTCGGATTACCTCCCTGTCTGGATGTTTCCGCATGATTCTGCCTGTAAGCATCATCTTGAATTGATGAATCTCCCTACTTTCGGTACTCGGTTTGCCTAGGCTGTGAATTTTGTTGTCGACTGGGACCTGCTTGAGTACGATACTGGGACAATCGCCCCTTCCTTATGAGATCTTCAATGTTCTCCTTTAATTGAACGCATTCTTCGGTGTAATGACCAACATCTCTATGAAACATGCAATATTTCTTCACGTCTCGGCCCTTCGTTACCATCGGTGCCGGCCGACTCCAATCTTCTCTATTCTGGTTTATTGAATAAATTGCCGCTCTCGGGGTGTTTAACTGCGTATAACTGCTATAACGGCCCAATCCCCTTGTCGGTCTTCCAGATCTCTGCTGGCCTTGCGGCAGTACCCTGCTTATCCCACCCATTTGGGTGTTTGGGCTATTATCACTTTGCCTTCTGGAGGGTTCTGCTGACGATATCTGACGGCTCGTTTTCAGCAGTTCCTCACTCTTTATGTATTCGTGAGCCTTGGCAAATGCTACCCCTAAGTTTGGGAAAGACTTCCGCGACATATATTTTTTGAAGTCGTTGTCACCCAGCCCATTCATTAACGCCATCACGGCAATTTCTTGCTGCAATTTTGGTATGGTGTTAGCCTCGTTATTGAAGCGCCTAATGAAATCTCTGAGCGATTCCTCTTTTCGTTGATGAATTGCCATGAGCTCGCCAGATGTCCTTTGTCTCGCACTATTACTTATGTATTGACCCGTGAACAACTCCACCAGGGTCTCAAAGCAGTCAATTGATCCCGGCTCTAAATTGGAGAACCAATCCGAAGCTGCCCCGGTAAGAGTCGTAGGGAAAACTTTACACCACACAGCATCGGTGTCTGTATATAGCAACATGTGACTCTCAAAAGCAGCTACATACCGCTTAGGGTCCCCCTTACCGTCATACGTACAGGACGACATCTTTATTTTCTCGATTTGTTGGTCAAGTACCTCTTGTGTGAACGGAGATATCCTGGGCCTGATGATCGCCCTGGCTGCCCGCCTTTCCAAGCCACTGGAAACCTCATGCCGATAGGAACCTGAATCCCCCACCTGGGCGCCTTGCGTGATTTGGCGCTCGGCCGGTATGGTCTCTCGGCCCCGGCTTCTTAACGGTTGTTGCTGTCCCGCCTGATTGAACTGACTCTCCAGGTTCACTATCAGCGGCTTTGTCGGTAAATCACCCAGTTTTTCCCCTGTCGTTAACTCGGTTTCCTTTCTTTTCTTAGACATAGCCCGCATGACCTTAGCCGTTATCTCCAGCTCCTCCGGGGTAAATCCTTCCAAGGGATCTGGGGTTACTGCTCTATTACGGTCAGGCGTTATGGGCATGTTCGTTATGTTACCGTGAAGGAGATGAGTTTCATCCTCGACCACGATTTCTGGTAGGTTGTTTACGGTTTTATTCGTGTTGTCATATTGCCGGTTATCAACTTCCGGTACTGGTACTGTAGTTTCCTTACTTCCTTCCATGACTGTGAGAGGTCCTGTTGGACGATAGAAGTTATTACTATCCCCTCCTTCTAGCGCCAATTGTTCCTGCTGAATTCTGCTTCCGTTAATGTCCGAGGGCTGGTAATGGTTTACCGTCCAATTGCTCACCTATACAGCCAATACTGATTAGCTAGCCTGGGGGTTATCCGGGAATAACCACTCCGATGCTAAAGTCAGTATCTTTGTGAGAAGAAAGTGAAAGAAGAGAGAGAAAGTGTTTTAGAGAGAGAGAGAGATTCTACCTTTGAAATGAGGATTTGCTTGGGTATTTATAGAAACACAACCAAGCAGGTGCCACCTATACAGATAGGTGGCACACCGACCTTGTAAATAGCAGGTGTCTACGCGGCACCAAGCAACTCTCCACGTGTCAGAGGGACATGCCACGTTCCGAGAAGCAGCTCTCCACGTGGCAGAGACTGATGTCGGTAAGGACATGAATTATTCAATGATTAACGAGGGTTTTAAACTGCACGACATTCTTTTACCGGCATATCATAGATGCTACCGGTATATCCCGTACAAAAATATTTTCCAATTCCCTGTTTCATTTGGCTACCCACTTACAATGTATCTTTATAAGATTTTTTTTTTAATTATTTAATAGTATATACTATATACAAATCATATATATGGCTTATAAACAAATGAAACAATTTTTTTTTTCCTTTGGTTTTTGCGGTTGTGATTGATAAGCAACAACTATTTATCTTTGTAAGACTTCATGAGTTCATAACCTTCAGTAAGGTTAGCCCTACTCCTTAACAGTTGGGCAATCATGTAAGAATTATGCAACTCTGTCTTAAGAACTCAGCAACAAATTATTTACATACAAATGATGCAACTTTGTCTTAAGAAACTCAGCAACAAGAAAAATCCACAATCATGCAAGTAAGGATGCCACTTTAGTAAGAATTACATTACATACTACTCACACAATTTTGTTACTGCAACTTGAGATTTGTAGTAAATTAAAAGAACACATTTCGTTGAACAGGGGGTTGGCATTGTACTAGTGGGAAGAATGAGTGATTCATATTCATGTACAAAAAACAGAGTAAATACACTGAATTCACAACACAGATTAAAATTCGATAGTTTACTAGATTAAAATGGAAGGGATGTGTTGAATGTGGGGCCAATCCTCTCCAGTTGATTCTTGGCATCTTTCTTTTAGGCGTGCTGAGCAGCCATATGCTGTAAGTTTCCTAAGAGAGGTGAGTTTGGACATCCAATTCGGCATTGATTCCAGTTCTTTGCAAAACGAAATGTCAAGGCATTGAAGAGCAGTCAAGTGGCTTATCCAATTCGGCAAATTTGGCATATGAGAGACTGAGGTTAATGTCAAGGAGCGAAGGGAGTGACAAAACGGAACCTCTCTCACTGCGGCTACCATTGATAGACTTGAATTAGAGCTATTTTTAATTTCCAACACCTTCAAGGAAGAAAGACATGCAAATGTCTTCATATTGGCTTTATTCGCACCACTCTGAAAACGCAAAGAATCAAGCCATGCCAAGTTGTCTATCCTCACCGTCTTAAGATTGGAACCAATGTTGATTATTTCCAATCTGTCATTGAAATTGGATAATTCTAGCCGTTGTAATGCAGGACACTCCAGAATACCACTTAGGTTTGGGCAATTCTCCACAAATAATATTTCCAATCGAGGATACCGTAAATGTCCCAAATACTGCAAATTCAAACAATCTTCAAACACCATAAAATCAAGATTGGGGAAAATGGTTGCCAAGTTATCTTCCCTAACCCAATTTGGTATTCTCACACCTCGATATCCTTGCAAAAATAAATACGTGAGATTAGTATATTTTGGCTGCAACGCTTCCATCATTGCTTCATCATACTCCTCCCTCCCCTCTACCTCCTCATCACCAACAAATGATAAGCATACTTCTTTGAGATGTTCCTTGTTACCAAGGCACCCTCCCTTCCTTCCTCCAATTATCTTATAAGTATCTGCACTTGTTTTCATAAATTGGGTTCTGATATTAATAAAACCTCTAAGGTTTGTGAAAGCTTTTAGATCGTCCAGCTCATCAAACACCTCTTTTGTACTTAGACTTATTCCTCCCACTACAAACATATCAAGAGTGTGAAGGCAAGTTAACATACCCAAGCCCCTTGGCATATATTTCAGCTCATCGCAATCACCTAATTCCAAGACCCTCAACTTTACCAGCTTCCTCAAATCTTTTGGCAAAAACTTCAATTTAGAAAATATTAAGACTAAAGTCTGAAGATTATATAGTTTTGTAATTGATTCAGGAAGAGCTTCTAATTCACTATTGTATCCGAGGTCTAGATACCTCAAATGTATTAGATCACCTATTGAGCCTGGCAAACTCTTGATATTTGATCTACTCAAGTCCAAAGCCCTTAAATACTTCCAATTAGCTATTAATGCATCCACATAAAACTGATCGAGACTCTTATCTATACGAAAATCAACTTGAAGATATGAGCGTATGTGGGTCTTATTGGAAACAAAATTTGAAGATTCACTTTGTGTAAGAGAGAGATGTCGTACCTTTTTGTCTATATCCCCATCTATGCTTTTTACTGTGCAAATCTTTTTTCCCACCACTTCTTGAGCGACATCGTGCATTAAATCATGTATCTTACATGTAATAAAACCAGCAAAATCTTTCTTCACATCTTAGAAGAAACATCTCTGCAACAAGATTGAGAAATATTCCTCAGCAAGATCTTCCGGTCTCTGCGGATCATTAAATGGGATGTAGCCATGTGCAATCCAAAGTCTTATTAATGTCTCCTTCCTTATCACATAATCTTTAGGGAATATTGCGCAGTATGCAAAACATGTCTTTAATGGAGATTCAAGCTTATAGTAGCTAAGCTTCAATATAGGCATGATGCTAATTTGGCTTTCTTTAACTTCAGCTAATCCCATCTTCTGAATTGAAAGCCACTTATTTTTTTCTTGGCCATAGAGAAGACTTCCTACTACTCTGATTGCAAGAGGGATATTAGCACATCCCTTAACTATATTTTGACCAATTTTAACCAAGTCTTCGGGAAGGTCTGAATGATGTGATCCAAATGCTACTCTTCTAAATAAGCACCATGCATTTTCTTTTGACAAGCCTTGCAGAGCGAGCCTTGGACCATATCTTATGATTTCTACCATCCGTCGTGAACGTGTTGTAACCACAATCCAACTTCCTCTTTGACCTTCCATCAAATATTTTGTCAGTGTATGCCATTGCTCATAATTTTCAGTCCACACATCATCCAAAACAAGCAAGTATTTAGTTCCAGCAAGTTTTTCTCGAAGTTGGGTTTGCAACCCATCCATGCTACAACCCTCAAACTCCTTATGATTCTTATGTTTTGTAGTTGAAGCTAGAATCTTACTGAGAACACCCCGTACATCCAGCGATTCCGGGTCTTCATCAGCGACACAAGTCCACAACTTCAATGGGAATGCAGATGTGACTCTTGCATCGTTATACGCAAGTTGGGCAAGCGCTGTTTTTCCCAACCCGCCAATCCCCACAATAGAAAGGAAAGAAACATTTTGTTGAACATTAGAATTGAGCAACACACCAACAATCTTCTCCAAATCAACCTCTCTTCCAATGATATCAGCTTCATACACATAAGAACAGGTCTCAAGCCTTCGATTCTTAATAGGCTTAGGATCAATGCTCAAGCTGAAGCGTTTGTCATCAGCAATAGCATCCAGCTTGTTCTTGATCTTCTTAACCCCCTGAGTCATACTGTAAGCAGTGCCAAACTTGGTAAAAAGAGAAAGCACACGAACCTTGATACCCTTGGTCAGCTGCTTACGTTCAGCAAGAGTGACAAACTCATCAAAGAGATCATCGGCTTCATAAACAGCATCCTTGAGTTCTTCAATATAGAGCTGTTCTTGTTCGGACAGCTCTTGCTTGGTATCAGCATCCTTGAGCACAGCTTTGATTCTAAAGACGGTGGCGCGGAGTTCATCAAATTTGGATTTGTAGCCAGCAATGGAGCATATCTCATTGAGCTGAGGACACTGCAGCGCTGCTAACAAGGTTTGAGCAACAGACATGACTGTTCCGATATCTATTTTTGGCAGCAGAAAAGACAGAGAAAATGAGAGTTTGTGAGAGATAGAGAGTTTTGTGAGTGAAAGAGTAAAGGAGAGTGATAGTAAATATAAAAAATGATGGCTTAATTAGGTTGCATTGGGTCAATCTTGGAAATCTTAAAAAAATGATCTCAATTACCTGCGAAGCATATGGAGCTGCTTACAAGAAGGTGGTCCTTGTGTGAAAATTGCAAATTTTCCAAAATAAAAGCATCTTCAATTGATCAATTTAAAATTTGTAAGAGGAGTTGGTAGAATTCAGTACAATACCAAATTAAAAAATGAGTGGGAATGGTTTTAGTGACTCCAATTCAACATGATCGCATTTCATGGCAAGGTTCTACTAACTAATCTTGGTCTAAGATTAAATAATGGAATAACAACTCTATTTTCAACAACTTTGTGAATAATGAAATGTAACTTTAAAGCAACTTAGTCTATTAAATAATCTTTGTTTTGATATTATGGCTCATCTTTGTCTTGGTCAGCCATATATTTTAGTTGTTCCAGAACAGATGGATCATGTGTGGGCATGGTGGAGCACGTGACTTGTTCTTCCCCATAAAGATGCAATTTTAATTTAATACAAAGTAAAAATAAAAACAAAGCGCGCAAACTTCTCTTCTCAAAAATAAATTACTGTGATAACATGTGATGTGAATAAGAAATCGTAATTAATAGTTAGAGAATGAGAAATCATACCCAATTCAAGTCTAAACATGGTGAAACAACTACTGAGGATCATCAAGAGCATAAGAAAAAGACCTCGAAAACACCTTAATTAATCTCCCTTGTAATTGGGTTTATTAATTAAAACCAACCCATCAATCACATGATTACACGAAGCAATTTCAACTCAACAAATGTTGCCATTTTGACAACAGAAGGTGTGCATTATATGACTCGGTGATATAGGATGATCAAGATAATTGGGAAAATGATTATGGATTTTTTTGGTGAAGTTACTGATTATTTACCAAAATAAATAAATAAATTGACATATAAGTGATAACACTGTGGTTTCTATCATAGATTTACTATTTTGACTTTTCAACTTTCCAACGCACTAATTTGAACGCTACTTTTTGTACACATTAATTTGATAAAAAAATTTAAATCTACGTAATTATACACAGCACTTACATGTGTCCGTAACATATGAAGGAAAAACACGGACGTAAACCGAGTTTGGCCAACTGATCAAGCTCAAAGTCAGAATTATCTATCACAGACATGAAGCAATTTCAACATGAAACGAGGGAAAATTGTACTGTGGTCATCAATATGAGTTTGGTAGTGTGCATTATTTAACTGAGTGAATTTGAGGGAATAACGAAATGGAAAGTGAGGATGATTGCATTATATTATAACGTACTCCATAGTAAATATCAACAAAATTAATAATCTGAAATTCTGAAGTATAAAGGAATCAAAAGAAACTCAATAGCACCTGAAACTTGGTAGCACAAATGTTATTTTGTCGAACAGGTTGTGTGAATCATATAACTTGGTGAATATAGAGAATTGGGAAAATGAGTAGGAGTTTAGGAGGCCTTCTGAAAACAGGACAGCATGGACTAACATACTCTATGCTTTATCCTTTGATCATGTGTTTATTCTATGCTAAGAAAGAAGTATGCGAGAAAATATTCACAAACCACGATTCAAATTACAGAAGTTCTTGACAGACAGCATACTTGCTGGAATTTTTCTACTTCTCAAGAACCCAACACATAAACTGAATCTTACATATCACCTTAAAAGGATCTGTCAGGCTAGGGGCCTATCTACTGCAAGAATCAATACACTCACAAAAAAGGTTTATACTTTATATATATATATATATATATATATATATATATATATATATATATATATATATATATATATATATATATATATATATATATATATATATATATATATATATATATATATATATATATATATCTTTTTCTCAAAGCAGTGATTTAAATAGGGGTATCTGATGTACAATTCTACAGTATCGTTACACTTCATATGAAAAGATTTAGCTGGAAATGAATTTTCTAGGTTTGGCATATCTAGCAGTACACAAACTACATAGAACATAGTTACAAAACCACATTTATTTAAAAACCTGTAACCTTCAAGGCATATCGCATATGACAGTAGCAATTAAAATACTAGCATGATTGCATTTTTCATTCTACAAATATAAACTTGACCATTGGTATAAACCATATGAAATTCAAGCAAATTCAACAGCAATTCATGCAATCACGTGAGTGTGTGAGAAAAAACATAACCGGTATATTTAGGAAGGTTCTACTCAAAAGCAAGCTAAGGAATTTTGATCGTAGCAATCTGTCTTAGCTAAGGTTCTACAACAATATAAACATTACAAGTCTCTTTTGGGAAAACAGCAATCTGTCTTCAAGAAACTTGGCAACACTTAATTTCACAATCATGTACAAAGCAAGAAATTAAAGAATGAAACATTAGAAACAAAAATATACTTAGCTGTCATACGCTCCCTAATAGCCAACATCAGTAACGCAATGAGTCGAGACAAGGCTCTCCATGAAGCTGCCTCCAACCCCCAAAACATCTGGACTGCCATGAACTACGATATTTTTGAAAGTCCTTTTTCCAAATTGAACATATTTATTCCTCAGCAGTGGTCTCCTTGTGTATCACCAGCACCATTTGTTCCCTAATAACGTATAGCCCTGATCACTGATTCATAACCAAATATCAAGAATTTAGTCCAAGACTCCTCGACACCATATTCTTTATCATCCAGGCAGCATTTACACACCCATTGCCAGGAACTTTGAAGGAAACCCACAAAAGTACCATCCAAGCAATACAAGACAATCAAACACAAGCATCTTCCAAACAAAATCAAGCACAAACTTCTCTCCATCAACCAAATAAAGGTTTGGCACTTTGAGAGACTTATCTTCCTTGTAGACTCACAACATCAATGAGCTAGCTGTATTTCAAGTGATGCAGCAACTGCATATCACTAGACTCTTCAATCTTTTCCTCAGTCTAAGGAACAAAGCAAGGATCCTCCAACCATATACGTTTATTTTGTTTCTTTCATTGTAAAAGTTCAATAAAAGAGCACATTATGCAATAAATGGCCTTAGCACTTAGCAGTACAGAGTACATAGGCATACATTGGAAGATATTTGTGAGATTTAGGAAGCAAGAAATCTTAGCAACAATACACTTGAGCTATCCCCAAACCTTAAAAAAAAAATCACCAGCATTATGGATCATAGAAAGTAACTTAGAAATAAATCACATACGAGGGCCTAGAAAACCAAGTTTACAAACATGAGGGCTAGCTAACAGCCAAATAACATGCAGCCTTTTGATTACCATAAACACCAAAACAATGCAAGAGCAATACAACATAAGCAAAAAAATATGTTCTATACAAACTTCTCCATGACGAAGTAGCTACTTACTAACTTAGCTTTCTTCCAAAGCTTCAATATTCTAAACGAGGCGAGACAAGGCTCTCCATGAAGGTCCCTCCAACACGAAATCCATCCGGGATGGCATGAACTACAACGTTCCTAAAAGTTCCTTCTTCTAAGTTATAAGTCACCAGTTTATCATCAGCCGTCTCCTCGTCCTTCACAAGCACCACTTGTTCCTTCCCCAACAAACACATTGGCCTAAACTCCGACTTCTCATGGTCAATGATCGTTAATTTGGTCAAAGACTCTTCCACGCCATATTCTTTCATCACCCAAACATCAGTTTCACAACTCCCACCCAAATGAAACATACAAAGACACCCTCCAAGCACCACAAGATGATCAAACACGAACTTCTTCCTATCAACCGAACTAGGTGGTGCCACTTCGCGAAACCTCTCTTCCTCTAAATCAAATGCAACAATAACAGACGAGTAATCCTTAGTCTTACTAGCAAGCCAATGAATAGACCCACCAACAAAAACCCCTGAAGCAAGATGACCAACAGCATGATCATACGGAGAACTCTCAGCTCTCTTCCAAGTACCATTTCTAACAGAGTACACATTAACAAACATCTCAGTACAATCAGGTTCATGCTCATTATCAGTGTCATAATACGAAAGCGTAACAACCTTATAATCATCACTAACTGAATCATACCCAAGTCCATACATAGTAAAACTAGCATGAGGATCAAGAGCATACGGAGAACTCGGCAACTTCTTAACCGCCCTCGTTGTCGGGTTTACCAACAACATATTGCTTTCCTCGTCACAAACAAAAACTAACCCATCACAAGAACAGAGATTATTAACAAGGGTGGAACCAAAACGATGATCATCAAAACAGAGCTTGGTAGCAAAAGTGGTAATTTCGTCGAACAGGTGGTGGGCATTATTCAACTGGGTAGAATACAGGGAATGGGATTCCTCTGAAATAAGGATTAGCGATTGATCATGATTAGGAAGATGTTTGGTTCGATAAAGGTGGGTTCTAATGAGGTGGGGTTGCGTTAGAAGAGATTTCCATGGTTTAGAAACACACCGAAATCGGCCAATGGATTTGGCAGGTAGTCGTGAAAGTATGTCAAATAAGATGTCTTCTTGATGGATCATCTTTGTGAAAACTGGTGGCAATCTCCCAAAATCAATACGAAGTGTTGAATTTCAGATAACTGAATGAATCATATCAAATCAATAGTTAATATGAAATACTAGTAAATCTTTGTCAGTTTTGTTGGATTGTTGTTTGTATTTGAATGAAGAAATTAATCTTACTCCGCAGACCGTGGTTGTTTACTCTAATTGTGGCTCCGTTATGTTCGTTTTGAGTGTGGTCTAGTCTCTAGACTGCACCAAACCGAAATCATTGTGCGGTTTGTAACAATTTTGATGCGGATATTGAATTTTTTTAAACACGACCAAACCGCATTGCAAACTGTACTTTAAAACTCGTATGTTTTTTAAATTGCAAACCGTTAAATCCTACCTTAAATTACAAATATAGTTCTTGTTTTTAAAAACCGCGTGGAGTCGGGTAGGGTATATAATTTTGAATTTTATGAAACATGACCAAACTGCATTGCAAACCATAATTTAGTATGTTTTGCAAACACAAACAACTTAAAAGGATTGCAGTTGATTCAAGACTCTACCCAGACCCTGTTGGACACTTGGACCCTACCTTAAAATACAGGTATGGGTCTTATTGTTTATATAAACCGCTACAATCAACTAAACCGTAATTTAGTTTCACCACTTTTTTAGTTGACACCATTTGAGTTTTGCACTATTCGTAAACTACACTTTGACTACCTTTTGTCATTTATAACTACGATAAAACATACAATCATGTAGGATCTTGTTTGAATCGTCTCAATATAAATTTAATTTAAAATGCACTTATATGAATTTATATATCGACAATTAGAAATATTAATCGTTAAAATAGTACATTGGCAAGTGTGTTAATAAAAAGATGTTAACTAAAAAATGGAGGTAGCATATTATAATTAACATAAAATTAAGTAAATTTGATCACAAATCACAATGACACCACATATTTATTTTTTTGGTTCAATCAATGACACTACTCCCTCCATTTTAAAATACTTGCTCCATTTCTCTATGTGCGGGGTTTTAAAATAAATTGAAAAAAGTAATAAAATATGGAAGTAGTGGGGTGGGTGGAAGCATTAAAAATTGTAAAAAGCAAAAGTATTGGAGAGAATTGGAGGAGAGATAATATGAAATTAATAAAATATGATTCATGGTGGATCCACTAGATGAGAGAAATTAATTAAATATTGTAAAAGCTTTATAAATAACGAAATGAAGCAAGTACTTACAAACGGAGCGAGTATTTATTAACGGGATGCATACAACAACATAACCTATAGTCTAAGGTGCATACAACACCAAACATATATAGCCATATGTGTATACGTTGATATAAATGAGGCTGGAAGTTGGAGAATCTTCCGTAAACAATTGTCATGTGAGATTTTGTTAAAATTGTTGTAATAAACAGTTTTTCAATATCTAATTTTTATTCATTGGTTAGGTCTATATATACCACATAAACCTTTTCATTACGCCACCTCATCCACTTAAATTATCATTATACCACATGGCTCCCCCTTTCATTTGTTTCTCTTTATATCACACATTTTTGAGAAACTAGAAATGGAGGAAAGTTAGGCATTTACAAATTCATAACAAGGGGTATTCATGTAATTATACATATGTACAAATGAATGCATATTCTGGTATCATTGGATGATCAAATGGTACCACTGAGGATTCAATGGTACCATATAAACTTTCAGTTGAACAATCAACATGTGGTCCCCCATCACGTGATACAATCCGACTAAAAAAATAGGTGGGGTCCACCTATAGACCCCTCTCTTCCTATCTCTCTCCTCTTTACTCTCTCTATCATGTGTTTTAATAATATTTTAATCAATGTTATGCATTTACAAATGCCTAACTTTCCTTCCTTTAAAATTCCTCCTTATTTTTAAGAAAAAAAGTTCTCTATAAGATTTGAACAGGCAACCTAAAATTCTAGAACTGATTGTCCTACCACTAAAGTTAGATGTGATATTTTATACAAAATATTATATTTTGAATACAAAATACTAATATGAATAACAAATTTAATTACAAGAAAATTGAGTCATAAAGTAAAACGTATATCAATAATCAATTGCGGCCCATGTATGTTCCGGGGCATCGCCTGAATTGGCAGGCCCAAATACTAGTTGGTGGTTAAAATTATGCAATAGTTGGCAAGCAAATCATCAATAACTATATACTAAAAGACACACCAACAATGACACGTGTCATCTCCTGGTTTGTCTTTAGTTATTATTCTTTTTTCTAAAAAAAAATAATTGATTAAGGAAATCAAATTATTTACAAAAATAACATTATTTTATACACATATTCCATATTAATGAGTAGTAATCATAATATATTTACAATAAAAAGATTTCACAAATCTTTCTAAAATATAAACCAATAATTATGCTCGCAGTAATTTGTGACCTACTTTATAGCAAGAAAATATATAGCTTTGATTTTTTGCCTACTTTTGTTTTAGTTGTGTATTAGAAGTTACAATTAAAAAAATCGACATATCACATACTTTTATTATTTCTTGACTAATTTATTATAAAATACTTATCAATCAATAATCTATAATTATATATAACTGTAGATCACCGTGCATTGCACGGGAGCTAACCTAGTGTAATAAATAATGAAGCAAGTCAAATTAAATATAAGTTCAGCAAAATAATTTCATTTCCGTAAACATAATTTCAATTCTGCAAAAATAAGAAAGTGAACGGGGCCTAAATATAAAAATTTAAGATCATGTGTAAACTTATTGTATCAGTCTTGATAAATATTTTCAGAATATCAATGGTCGTTTATAATTTATACTATTGATAGTTAAGATTGCTAAATTAAGCATCGGCATATGCTACAATCAAATTGGAACACTTAAAAAATTGAGGGAATATACAAAGATAGAAGCATCTGAACACATTCAACTATCCCCAATTAGGACTAGGAGCCTGTTCATGTTTACTAAATTGAGCTAAATTGAACTGAATTGATTGGAGCTGAACTGAACTGAACTGAACAGATTGGAGCTGAACTAAACTGAGCTGAAATGAATATTTTATGAGAGAAGGAAATTAGGAGTTGAACTGAACTGAAATTAAGTAAATGTGAACAGGCCATAAGGCTATTTTAGCGATAAACAGATCAGATAGATAGATTATACCTTGTCTTTTAATTTTTCATTCAGTTTTGTTAAATACTTATATCATTAACTTCAGTAGTATATAAAATTACAAATAATTTACTCCCTCCGTGTTTTCTTAAGTGTTACACTTACCAAATCCGGCCGTGTTTTAATAATTGTTACACTTCCTTTTTTTGGCAAAAAGCTACATTAAAATATTATATCTCACTCTTCCCATGGTCCCCACCCAAACCCACTACTACTTTTTTTTTTTTTAATTATATCCCTCCTCTCACATTCATTACTTTTCAATAACCTATTAACTCCACTATCCTTGTTTTACAATTTTTTAATACTCCAACTACCCCACTTACTTCTTATTTTGTTTAAGTCAATTAAATTGCCTAAAACTATGTGTTGGTCAAACTGTAACACTTAAAAAAAACACGGAGGGAGTATGTGAATGATGTGATAAATGATTTCTAAAAAAAACAATAATACGAGTAATAAAACTTCCAAATCTTAATACTTACCTCCCTTTTTGTAGTTGACATCTATTCATTTTTAGGAAGTTTATTTTTACAAGTAGTTGACACGTTTTCTTTTTAGGCAAGTTTTATACTTTGAATTTATTAATGTACCTCACTTGCTATAACATTATCTCTCATTCTCTTCCTCTCTTTAACATACGTAGTATGTGCCTAAATTAAACGCGTCAACTAAGTAGAAAAGGAAGGAGAATCTTTTAATTTTGGGTTTTTCTATGTAGTAACCCTGTTAATTTCGCTTTTCTAAGTTGTGCCCCAACATATATCACTTTATACACTGTAACTCCAATATACATTTTGTTTTCATACGATAACCTTGTCGTTATCCCGCTGTCAAAAATTTTGTTAGTGGGGCCCACTCTCAATTTATTAATATTTTCTTAATCAATTTGCGCACTGTAAAATGTTATTTTAAAGGTTTTGGGGGCTATTTTGATCATTAAGATTTCAAATTGAAATCAGATTTCAGATTTCCAAAAAAATAATGTAAATGCCTCGTTATAAGTATTAAAACGTGAACACATTAATCGAGACAATACTTTTTTATTTTGAACGGAAATCGAGACATTACTTAATAAGAAAAACGAAGCATTTAAGTTATTTTTTGCCTAATCTGAGCTCAATTTGGGTACTTAAGGACCAAAATAGCCCAAAAAACCTTTAATGGAACATTTTCCAACGCGCAAATCCACAAAAAAAATAATAAATTGAGAGTGAGCCTCACTAACGGAATTTTTAATGGCGGGATAACGACAAGGTTACCGTATGGAAACAAAATGTACATTAGGGTTACGTGTGAAAAGTGATATATGTTGAGGCATAACGTAAAAAAATGAAATTAACAGGGTTACTATATAGAAAAATCCTTTAATTTTTTTATCACTCAACTCACTTTAAATAAAATATACTCGTAATGGACTAATGGACATGGGAATCACTTATTATCCAAATCCAATTCATCAAACTTACCTGAATCGAACTCATTCTCATTTTCCCAATTCACATCACTATTAGACAAAATAACATTTGCCACCAAGCTAGCTCAGGTAATTTGCTTTAGCTAGCTTCCATTGCTCCATCCTATTAATTCAGTTCATTTTGATTATTTTTTTTTATTTTAATTATGATTTAACTATATACTTATGTACTGCTAGAAATGCTAAGCTGGGAATGTCCTATGTTTCTGCTGCGATGCTGCTCATTTGAGTTATTTAACTACAATCACTATACTTAAATTTTATGTTTTTGCAACAAAAAATAAATAAATAAATAAATAAAATAAAATAAAATAAAATGAATTAAAAAATCTTGTTAATAAGAAATTTGGATGGCCCATTTTTTTTTTTTTTTTTTTTTTTTTTTTTTTGAGGGAGGATGGTCCAAAATATAGATGTCTCCTTACATTTAATTAGACTGCCTTGAGAGGTAAATGTCCTATGAGACATGGAGAGTGACTTAACCTACCAACTCTTCACGAAATCAAATTTTACCACGAATGCTAAATACTCGTATCAACCTAGAATTTTACCAAGAATTATTATCGATTTTCTTTGTATCCTGTACCGGTTTGTGTATAATATTTTATCAAAGATATTTGTATATAGACGATAAATGTGTTAGATGTT